GCTTTCTTTTGAACTATTTCCCTTAGTAATATTCTGAAATTGAATTTTCGTGAGAAGAGAGAAATAAAATTGGGCAAAACAACTAAACAAAGTCTGATTCAGCACTGATGGTGGTTGGTATGATTTTAGAATTTTCCCTCTACTAGCTGCTGCCTCCGTAAGTATAAAATGAAGGTCATATTTGTCATCTTTGCTATCTCACAGGATGTGGCATCGTGTTCTCAACAGACTACAGGCTTTTCTTGAATCCTGAAGTGTGTCTAGAATGCCAGAAGTGGCACCGTCTGTGCCACCACAGTTACACTGTGAGCACCCACGTTCGTGAAGAGGCGCAGTTCATTGTCTTGTGTCTGTCACGGCCGGAGGGCCCTGGGCTTTTGGAAGCGTCTTCTCTCCCCTTCCCCTGTCTTTCCGCTCCGTCCACCTTGCTCTCCGCTTGCTGCTCCTTTGGGAGTGATATGCTCAGGCCTCTCCCTGTGTGTCCCCACCCGCTCCCTGCCCACCCGCTCCCTGCCCACCCTGGCACCATTAGGTGTTGAGAACAGGTCCAGGTCCATTTCTCCTTGTTCATAGCAGGGCTTCCTCAGCCCCCTGCTCTAACTTCCACGGATCCATCAGACCCCCTACTAGACTCACCTCAGGATAGAACAAGCCTGACCCAAGGCAGTAAGTTCACACTGATGGGCAGCAGAGATTACAGAATGAGTGCCCTCAAGGGGGACACAGCCAAAGCTTCCTAAGGTCCACGTTGTTAAAATAAGAAAAAGTGATTCCACCAGTTTTGAAATAGCTTCTGATTCTAGTACCTCCAGTTTCACGAGCATTAAAGACTTGACTCCTGTTTTTCTACTCAGGCTCACTTGCTTTCAGTGGTGATGATTAAATAAATAAATTTTCTTGGTAGTGGAAAAGTTTTACACTTTGAATTTTAGCTGGCTACATTTGAAAATTAGAGAAAATTAGTCCTTAAGTGCCTCCGGGTTGATTACAAGAAGGGTATTTAATGTTGGCTTGTTATTAGTGCTTACTGATGGGGAAGTCAGCTCACCTTGCTGTTCTCCCGATTCTCAGAACTCGACATCTTTTCTCTGGGGACTCCACACAAGGGGCCAGGCTTTCCGTTTTTCTCCTCAGTGTGTCTGTCTCCTCACTGTTTCTCTCACAGGTGTGTCTGACAGCTCCTGATCAGCCTCCTCACCCACCCACTCTGTCTGGATTAAATAATTTAAATGATGTCCTATTTCACTTTCTTTAACTTTTCATAAACAGTTTTTTATGGCTCCCTGGTCTTTATGTCTATTTTTAATGACTGTGTAAGCTATTGAATCAATGCATCAGTAATGCATTTTGTTATTAAACATCTTTCCCCAATGTTTACACCTTTGAATAATACTCTTAGGAACTTTTTTTATGTGCAATTTTTTTCTTTTCATAAATATTTTCTGAAGAATGAAATGCCAAGCCTGGAATCACTGTCAGTTTATCACTGTTACTGTTGTCACCCTTATTATTATTGTTACTATGACTATAATGAGGAGGGGTGGTTTCCTCACCATATGGTGCAAAATTCTCACCCGAGTTGTTAGTTGTAATAGACAATGCTAACAAAAAATAAGAAGGGCCCTAGCACTGGCATTTCATCATTAGTTTGCTTGTTTCTTTGATTATCCCCTTTAAAAAATAAAAAAAAAACCTCAATCTGAAATAGTTAAAAATCAAGAAATACTACCCAACTTTGATATCTCATTTATTCAGAAATAAATGGATTACATACTGTGCTGAATAATTATAAATAAGGTTATGGTGGTGGTGTGCATGCAGTGTGTTACAGATACTGTACTATATATATATATATATATATATATATATATAT